GTTATTTCAGCTTGCATTTTCCTCCCCTCACATGTGAAGGCATCACGATGGCTGTCTGAGTCCTGCAGTTAATATGGGTGCACGAGTCCATAATGGTACATTGTAAGTGAATGTCTCAGGGTAGACAGCAATAATAATTAGCTGTCATGATTTGAAAAAAGGATAATCCATGCCATTGAGTTAACAATCACTCACACAACACACATGGATTTAACTAATCTTAATTTGGAGAAAAATAACAATTCTAAATATATCAAATAGCCTATTTCATGGCAACCTACGGCGGTGTTTATCTCTGGCTTCCAGCACATGCGAGTTATTTAGTTTCTCTCACTGGCAGTTTTACCATTCAAAAGCCTGAAATGAACATTCATGGAGCAGGGGTTGCAGTTAAATCCTGCCTCTGACAGGGAGCCTTTTTTCACGATGCACATCTAGTTCAACTACAATGTGTGGAGCCCAGCACTGGTGGCCAGGACAGGATGAATGAGGAATTCCAATCAACCCCCTCCCCTTTCCTAGCACTATCCTTGCAGAAATTAACTTGCTGTCTTAATGAACTTCTGCTGCTGGTGTCATTATGTGTCTGTGAGGGTACTCTGGCCCAAAGGTGCAGTCCCATCAGTGAATCTGGAGGAGGTCTGTCCCAACTGGTGCCTGCCCCACAGAGGTTCCTTCCTCTCTGCCAGGGCTCTATGAAACCATCCATCATTAAAAGCAAGCTGACTGCCTGGTACTTTTTATTTAACCTGGATCATTTCAGAGAGTCCTGCTAACAACAGACCGGTAACCCACGAGCCCAGCAGGGCCATGGAGAGGAGAGGAGATACTATCAGTCAAAGGACAGTGGAAGCATATTTCCCAGGTCATTCTTCAGCCAGGACAGGTCACCCATTTATGCTCAAGATCTGATAAGTATGAGAGATAAAAAGAGATATAAAATACAACAGTGGTCTAATTTTTTTCCAAAATACCTGCCAGCGGTGAAGTAAAAGGAGCAGTGCCTGATAACTCCTAGCCAACTCATTGGCCAGGCTATGTTTTGCTGTGCAACAATCTGGTACATCTGTTTGATACTATCACACCCTCTGTGCGAGAGGCAGAACTGATTTTCAAACAGGTCAGCCAATTTAAAAATAACAAAAACAAAACCAAAAACTTTGCAGGGCAGACTGCTCCTAAGCAAGTCACATCCTCCTAATGCCAGCTAACATGCTACCACATATCGCATGGACAGTGGTAACTAAATGAAAACACCTTGAAAAGCTTGGATTTGCAAGTTACCAGGCAGGGGAAGATGACAGATTTTATTAGCATAAGATCTTTAAAAGCTGATTGCAGAGACAAAGTTGCCTTTGTCTCTAGCGAAATATAGAAACGTCAGCCGGAGATTTGTGTTACAAATTGTGCATACAATTTGTTGCAGACTCCTGAGCTCTACATGCCTGCCTCAAAGCAGCTCAGGGTCTGTTGTGTGGTCAAGAGGCATTCAGTGATGGGTGCAAGAAGAGCTACCAAGAAAGAAAAAAAAAAAAAAAAAAAAAAAAAAAAAGAAAAAAGAAACAGAGGAGGAAAGACCTCAGGAGTACCCTGTGCCAGGATGAATGCTCAGCACTGCATCCCAATATCCTCACGCCCACAGGGAAGAGAGGCACAACGGCAGAGCCAAGCTCAGCTCCCAATGTACCCTCACAGCATCCAGCCATGGGAAGATGTAAGGTTTGGTGGCTTAATCACACCACAGAAGGTCACACAAATTATTTTTACCAAATAAGAGGGCCTACAAATATTACACAAGATCAAGGAGAGGAGCTGAAACCTCTTTGAGGACAGCAGTGGTGGCAGCATATTTCAGGGAGCCGAAGTGGCGAGTGGGTGATTTCTGGTTTCCCTCTTCAAATATAAAGACTCAATTATCTTTGAACAGCTTGCTTTACACATGAATTGACACATTTATTTTACAATAAATAACTGAAAGTTATCTATGTTTCCTTTACTGTTAATCTACACAAAGAAATAATAAACAGAGCTTGTCTACAAAAATGCAACTACTGCAGTCCTCAGAATTCAATTAAGCTAAAATAATTAATGCTTCTACCATATTAAATTACTTTATACATTTGAGCCACTGAAGTTTTTTTTTATTATTCTTTAATCTTTTTCGCCTTTTTATTTAATAAAAAAAAAAGTTAGTTTCAAAGGGGGGGGCTGGCTAGGAGGGGGGAAAAGAGCATGATTTGCTGTTAAAATGTAATGGTCTCCTTTAGCTGACACAGCATGTAGAGTGTTTTGTGCCTTTGATTAAAATAACATTTTAAATGCTTTGAACAAACATATCTCCCCATACTTCTAAGGGATTATTTTACATATTTCTTGGTGGAATAAAGAAATTCATTCTTCCTGTCGCAGTACAGAAAGGCTAAGAATATCTTTCGTCACATATAAAGTAAAAATACTGTAGGCTGTTGCATTATTACAAAAAAAAAAATAAAAAAATAAAGAGAGGGGGTGGCAGGGTAGGAGAAAGCTGCCTTAGAGATTAAGTTTCCCTTTTATGAAATCGTATTTAGTCTCTTTTTTTAACAAATCTAACAACAATGCTCTACAGCCGCTCACTGGGAAATACCTTTAATGTTAAATGCAGATTCTGATTTTCTTGGCTAATGCAGAAAGCCTTTCTATTGAAATATAAATAAGGGGTTTGGTATATCCCACTAAAGCCTTTCCAGTGAATGACTTCTGTGGGTTTTTCATGGCTACCCTCCATGGCTGTAATGTGAGGCTTTTATCCTACTATTGAAAACTATCCGCTGCTATTAAAAAAAATATGGAAGGACACTGCACCTTTTTATCTCAGAGCTGGGCTCCTAATTGAGAAAGCATTATTACTCCACTATTTAGTGGATGTCCCTATCTCCATGCACTGCTGAGAAAATGCCAATCAAATGATAAACCCTTTTATTTTTCTCAATTCAAAATCTTTTCTACATATTTTCATTTGATATTCAGTTTAGTCTGAAAGAGATTAGGTGCTCCAGATTGGCTTTTAAATTTTTTTTTTTTATGCCTTTCTCACATGTGAACATCCCCTTCACCCCCTCCTCCCCTGGCAGCTTTTCTGTGTGGCACAAGTGTTGGTTATGTTGATGCTGACTCCTAGAAGCTGTGATGGGACAGCACCCTGTGCACTGGGCCGCTGAGGTACTTCACTATGGACTGAACTCGGGCAGAGGTTAGTCAGAGATGAGCTCTGGACTGCAACTGCAGCATAGGTCTCCTGAACCAACCTTACCCTGGGTGTCCCTTACCCTGGGCACCTCTGCAAGAGGCTGAGCACCATCAGTTTACAGGGAGATCAACAGTTATTGAGAGTGCTCAGCATCACTCAGACCTTCAGCAGACTGGAGGAGAATGTGCTGAATACTTCTCTTCTGCTTCTCCCAAATGGGAAGGAAATCTAGCCTTCAAATCTGTTACACCACAATGTAGTCGTCTCTACCAAGAAATGCATTCACAATTGAAAAAGAATGAGGAAAGCTGAAAATGGAGAGGGAAAGCTGAAAAAGGATGAGGAAAAGACAGGGTCAAGTCTTACAGTAGAGTTGCTTACAACCCTACCACACAGGCTGCCACACATAATGCCCCCAAAGCTACCAGCCAAGACGATAGCTGCACCCAAAAAAGATTCTTAGAAGAAAACAATGTAGTTAATGGGTGGCATATAACCTCTCCTAAAAGACAGGATGTCTGAAGACTGCAGCATTTCTAAGCCAGCATCCTCACTTATATGATGCCCAAGCTTGTCGGAGATGCTGGGAGCTGATTCAGAGACCTCCAACATTAAAAGTGGGAATCTCTTCAGCTTCAACTGTAAAGATAGGAGCCTCTCACCAGTCTTCTGGGGATCCCCTCGTGGGAACATATCTACTACAGACAGGATCCTGGACTGTCAGATCTAATCCCACAGGACAATTCCTAGAGAAATCAGGACAGTGGCAGAAAGACAAATTGCCACTGATCTTCAGTATGGGATAAAGTTGGTTTGAACAAAAAAGGCCCGTTACAGGGGAGATCCTGCTGTGTAACATAAAACTCCCATTCACTAGCAGGAAGAAGAGCCTTCCTTTCACCACTGTGGAGGGGACAAACGCCCTGCACAACAGAAGCAGCCCCACGCCAGGCACTCTGCAGGAACCACTGCATGTCAGCAATCCCAGGTGGATACCATCATCCTCCTGCCCACCTCTGAGCAAGGGAGGTCCACTGAATGAATGTTAACTGCACTATGTACGAGAGCTTTAGAAAAAGAAATGCCTGCAATTTTCTCACCTAGGCCAGCCTGCGCTCTTGTATCCTCATTCAGAAAATCCATTTGGGGTGTGCATGTGAATGCAGGTGTTGCCTACCCAACCTGAGCCATCTACAGAGACCCAGGACAAGCAGCGCTGGCAGACAGGCAGACCAGGAAGCTGATATCTACCCCAGGAAAAGAAAAAGCAAGGATTTAATGAACCCCTGCTTCAGCCCTCACAACCAAATCTGCTTCCCACTAACAGTCAGTGGGAAGACGATTTTTCCACTGACTTCACTAGGGTCAGAATTTAATCCTTCCCAGTGAGTCTGCATGTGACAAAAGGTGTTTGGAAGAGGACTGAACTGAGCACCTCACCAAAGTCCCCTATCCCTCCGCCACTTCTACCTGCTTAAGGATGCTCATGAAATATTTTCTGACTCCAGTTTTCTGCTTTTTCCCATGTGTACAGGGTGCTCCTTGGCTCTCCCAGGGAACTGAGAAGCCCCTTTCTCCAGCAGCTGGACACACACAGACAGCTACACTGAATTAAACATGGGATGGACAGCCCTGCATAGCCATGAGGATTCTCCAGAATGGATGGTTCCTATAAAGACCTGTTGTTGAAGTCTGTGTTTCATGGCACTTTCTAGAGGACTCTAGTTAAAAGATTACCTAGGCAGTTGATTGAGTGTAAAACGTGCTGTACCTGCAATGTTCTCCTGCTTGGGGCAAATTCCTTTTGTAGGCGTGAGAAGACGGTCTTCTTCATCGGGTGTGACTTGGATCCCGATTTCCACTGGCTCTGACACTTTCCTGAGCTCGGCGCGAGAGGAGGGGGGAGGGCTGCTCTTATCCATGCTCTTTTCATAGCAGACACCACCAGTGCCATTGCACTGTTTTCTCTTGTGCTCTATAAAAACCAAGATGTCTCCCAGCGGGAAGTTCATCTGACACTGTCCACAGGTTAACAAGTCGGGGTCTGTCCCGCCTGCAGCGATGCTGATGCTGCTTGGGTCTGCTATTGCCAGGCTCTCATCCTCGTCGGCCAGTGCCGGTTCCACATGGTCAGCCTCTGCTTTGCATGGACAAGGGGAAAGAGGGAGGAAAGGGATGAGGGGAGAAGAGAAAGAGATTGCTTTGAGTGTTCACAGACTCTGGAGGATGCATCACCAGAGGCCCAGCCTTCCCCCACCCCCTGAAGAAGTCAAGCCTGATTAGATCTTTCTTTTATTTTTCAACTTTTCCGCTCTCCCAGAATGATTTCAATATATTTTGCAACCAAGCCTGCCTGAAACAAAATGGAAAGGCTGACCTGGCATAGCTTTCCTGACAGCTCCTTCCCACTGCTGCCAGCACTGCAAGGATATCAGCAAAGAGCCATTTTGCAAGCGTTCGAGCCCCGAGTCGTATTCTGAAATAGTTACTCTCTTTTTATCCCACCTTCTCATTCCCACCGCGTCTCCCAGCCATCTGGCCAAGGCCCCATCCAGCAAAGCTTATGCACCCAAACCTCTCCCTTTTTCAGAGAGAGGGGGAAAGCTTGTATGCTCCGAACTGGCATAACTAGGATCCCCGTGACATACAAAATTAGTACCACCTTTCCTGTTACAAAGTTACCGGCAAGATTAAATGACCACCCATTAGCACAAATTACAGCAAACTATTTGTAAGAGTAAGGTAAGCGGGATATGGGCACAGGAGCAGTTAAGGGATTTCAAAAGTCTGTACAGTGGGAAAGGGAATGAGGTGCTTATTTAACATACTGGAATATTGGCTGAGCCTGAAATCTTCCACTTTATTTTTCTGATGTCAAATAACCCTGCCATTGCTATATATGTTAATAAAAGCTTTTCTTGTTTAAATTTTGCCCAGAGACCTGGTGAATTTCATACCTTTACCCCCAAAGACTGGGAAAGAATTTTTGAGTGACCTGCATCAGTTTCTAGGAAATATGCAACTTCTCATTTCACAACTATTAAAAACCACCATGTTTTTAATGGGTATTTATAAGATAATTCTTACATTATAAAATAATTGTGGATCACAATCCATTTCTGAGGCAAAACATGTTTTTTTCTCTTGTTCTACTATGTAACTGCCAAATCATACAAACCTTGGACTTCGCTCAGGCAAAATTTCCACTGACTTTTGCCTAAGGCTGGTTTGACTCTGCAAGGACTATAGGATTTGGGCTGAACAAAACAGAGGAACTAACAGTATGTAAATCAGTGACTGAGCCCTCTAATTGAATCAGAGTTAAAGGAATAGGAGGAAAAATGTTCTCTATTAGTCCAAGCGGTTTCCTTATGGATTTCCTGGGGAAAGTAAGTCACACAAATATCTCAAAGAAGTAAGACTGTGATAAACAGATGTTATAATCCAGATCTGGACTCTTCTCCAGTCCTAAAACAAAAGGATTTCTGTCTCACTCTTAAGCAATTGCAAAAAAAAAAGAAACACATAGGAAAGAGACAAATGGTAGAAGGTGGAACTCATTCCCTGGCAACACAAATGGTTGCGCCTTGAAGAAAGGTAGTTAGAAAAAGAATCACTCCATTTTTGCCTTCCAGAATAAATAACTGATCAGCATATCTACCAATGGTATTACAAGTTGCATCAGAGCTCCCTAACAGCAAAGGGGAGAGCAGAAGCAGCAGCACCAGCGACGGCAGAAAGGGACAGGGACTCAGAGAAGTGTCCATCCTGCTGGAAAAGACGATGGGCACGGGAAGGCTTCTGTTTCCAAACACATTCATTCTGAAAAGCATTAATTACCTTTTTACCCTTAATCTAAGTTTAAAAGGAGTTTGAAGACAATCCTACGCAATTAATTCACCAATTTATATCATGAAAAGATGCCTCCTTGCCTTAGTGAAAATGTAACCATAACCCTGTGCTGAAAAGGGACCGCTGGGAAGGGAGCGGGTGCCTGCAAACAGCGTGTCACGATGCAAAAGGTAATTATTTAGTGCTGTGGTTCCCTTTAATGATCTAACATTGAGCAATATTGTTTATATTGAAGAGAGCTTGCACCTTTAATTACCAATTACATATACATCATTTTAGACCCAAAAGAAAAGGACTGTGAAAAGGTTCCTTTAGAAACGTGCACACTATTTGTAACCAGAATTCCTATTAAGGGGAAGCAGTGTGTCAAAATATTAAAAAAAAAACCATACAGAGAGGCACACACAGGCACACAGATACACACACGGGAGATGGGACAAAGAGCTGAAAAAGACAACACGAAAACAGGAACTGAACCAAGGGTCGTAAGAAAAAAAGTGGCAGAGGAGAAAAATGTTTATTACTAGTTTCACTAACATTCCTGTAAAGGCTTCAGATTAAAGTCTGTGTCTTAAATTACAAAGACTGAATTTTGGTATTTATATATTTTATATATGTAACAAATAAAAAGAAAAGCACAGACCCCAACTTTATTATCTTTTTGATGTGAGGATTTTTTTTTTTTTTTGCCTGCAATTTAAATTGTGCTCTTCAGAAAACGTAGCAAAATTGCTGAATTTGATAAGGGTCCTGACCAGGCGTCTGTGGAAACATGAAGGAGGTTCGAACAGCTAAACTGTTACAAATTCTTTCTTTTCAGTTATACATTTCATTTGAATATTAGTTAAATCCACATATGCCTATTCACTTACACTCGCTCACTCTCTTTCCAAGGACTCTGCAATGGCACTTTTTTAAATAACATCTGGTATTCCTTCATATTTTGGCAGTCGTCACATCACCGAAAATCAGCTTTTCGTTTTCTTGGTACGCTGAGCCCTCATGATCAGTAGTAATTGGGTTTCAAACTATCAAAAGATTTTTTTTTACTCAACTCTATTTCTGATTTGAGCTTAATAAATCATCAAGCATGAGACCAGCTATTCACCCAACAATGCAGAGGCTATATTACATCCCCTTATTCAGGACATGGAAAACAGACATAAAAGAATGAAAAACAAAATACTGAATAGATCTTCAAATGCATTTTATCCATGTCAATTTGCATTTATTTTTTTTACTTGGAATAAAAAAAAAAAAAAAGACTTCCTATTGACAACTCAATTAAGCCATTAAAAACCTACATTCAAGTAACATTACAGGAGAGATTTAAAACCCACAAAGGAAAAGAGAAAAAAGCCTGCAAGTCCAGCCCATAACGCATCGGGTCATGCCTGGTTAATACAACAGCCAAGATCTTAGGCTGTTTAAGGAGTCCTTTAATACCAAAGGGGCAATTTAGGCCAGTCTCAATCTAAAGTTCTGACTCTACTTGTGTCTGTGGGTTTCAAATGAGTCGCTTCACATTATTTGAATTTAACTCTGTGGTTTTATTGCTGTTGTTGTTGGTAGCTGGGTTTAGAGGGAGGAGGGTGTTTCTTCACAAGTATTTATTTAAAATTAATTTATATTTTTTTAAGAAGAAGAAATCAAGCCACACACAAGAAAAAAAAAAAGAAAATGAAAAACACCTCATCTCCCTTACGTGGGAAAAGAGAAAAAAAATGCAAACGAGATATTTCTAGACAGGACTCGTGCCCTGGTTCTTCCAGATGTGTTAAGGTGTGCCCAGCATTTTCCCTGAATCCAGAGATTCCTCCGAAGGGGATTGCCTTGGCATTGCCTGCCTATGGAGCACAGTGAGTCGGCAACGGGCAATCTACGGGGACATGAGTGACAATGTTGTTATATGATGGCTTCATGAAATTAATGCAATTGGACAATCTAAATCATTTGCTTTACTTAAAAAATCATTAGACTTGCTGACTGGACTCCAAGCTCTCTGGCTGCCTACCACACCAAAATGCAGAGGACAAACCCCTTAATTCCATAAAGGCACTGTCACAAAGCCACCAGCACTCCTACTCCAGTGTGGTGACATCATTAGAGCATATGTGCCCCATGCAAACAATGTTCTCATGCCCAGTATTAAAGTGAATGCACATGCTAACTACTTTCTGCCTGTCAGTTGTCTCAAAATCATACCCATTAATAGTGGAAAAGACTGTGTTCCTAAAAATCATTTCCAAGGTCTCGAAGGACAGAACTGTGAATGCATGTTCACAGGGTTTGGGTCCAGGCAGCAATCATTTATTTTCTTGCCTTTTTATTGCACTACAGAGCCTGGGTAAGAAGGGCTCTAAAGTTGCCAACCTGCTCTCCTTATTTTTCCTGTCCTGCAGTATCAAAAGGAGGCAGAGCAAAGGGGAAGAGGGAACATTCTGGTGTGGGGCCAAAGCGTTGCATGTGAAAAACCTGCCCTCCGTGGCTGGTTTCTGCACAAATCAATAACACGGTGGTGAAGGTGAGCGCTGCCAGTGCCTTCACCACAGAGGTGCTGCTGTATGCCCTTCCTGCCCTACCACAGCCACTGCCCAACCTTATACCCACCTGGGGGACAAAGCACAGGCTACCCCAGGGGCCACCCTTCTCTGGGACAAGCTGAGGTTGCCCAGGGTCCACCATGGGGACACAGCTCCTTGTGCCCAGACACAGGAAGCTGCCCACCAGTGTGCTGCAGTGCATCAAGTGCACTGTTCTCCTCACACAGTCACTGCTGCCTTGGAGGCACAGCCAGGGAGAGCTCAGCCTAGCTGGGGAGCGAGCACAAAGAACTGACTTGCTCTTCAGGGTGTTGGCCCAAAGCAGGCCTGAAAATGATGTCCCTTCAATCAACACCCACATGTCACATTTACTGTAGCATCAACATGCTTAACGGAAATAGCTCGAATCACACGCTCTCTGGCTGGGTTATCACCGAGATCGGTGTCAGGATCCTTGCTGCACAAAGACTAACACTGCTCAAAGTGGACGACATGGCTCCTTGCCGTCGAAGTTTATCAATAACCTGCTTCCAGAGCCTTCCAGCAGCTCCTGCAGCTGCAAGGTGCAGAGGCAGAGTTGAGACTATGCCTACATATTGCCTCAGCATCACACTCAGTGACACTAGGCACAGCTTATCTGCCACCAATTTTTAATTTTTCAGAGGACCGCAAAATAATTGTTAGTAGTATCTTATTTTATTTTATTTTTTTTCCTAAATAAAAATCTGAGGCTGAGTTGGTCAAAAGAGGCAACTTGATGGAGAAGCCCCAGAAACACAGGGGACCGCACTCTTCCTCACTTTCCCAGCGACTCTCCGGCGTGTGCAAAGTGCACAAAGGCAGAGCTGGAGCAGCGGCGAGCGAGTCTCTGCCACACCGTGCGTGCGTGGCCCCGGTGCAGCCGCTGAGCCGCCGCCGTCCGGTCCCCCACGGCCGCCCGGTCATCCCCCGCCACGTGCTGGGCGGGCGGCAGCACAGCGTGGCAGGGTCCGTGGCCCCGCAGCAGGCAGGATGGAGCCTGCCGCCCCCGCTGGGCACCCACAGCAAGGGGACAAGGACACGGCGGTGCAGGGAGGGTGGGGGGGAAATGACCGGTTCACTCCAATGCTTCAGCACCTGCACAGCGCGGAGAGCTGGAGGACTATTCCTGCGACACTGGTACCTCGGACACCTTTAGCAGAAGTACACTGAATCTTTCAGAAAGCAATTTAACCCTCTGTACACACCTGAGACAGAACAAGTCAAGTACTGCCACAAAGAGCCATCAGGATTTAGGGAAAAGAAGGAGGAAAATGACACAATAACCACGCCGTACTCAAACAGGACAAAAGACAAGAATATCCAAGAATCTGCACGAATATCCAACACTTGTCAGATGTTATTTCTTCAGAAACTACGCAGTGTTACAGAAGGGAGTGCTGTGTCTCCTCTTAAGTAAACTATATGTTCATAAAAAAATATTTACGGCTTTTGAGAGCAGAAAAATGTATAGACTATAGACTGCAGAAGCTGTAAATCTCTGAAGATAAAATGGGATGTGATGATGTGATATAAAAGCATTCTTTGTTCCCCAGTGAATACATTTGTTTTATTTAAAACTAAACGACAAGCAAGGAGAAAAAGGAGCTCTTGGTGCCACAAAAGGAGAAGGAGCGGTATTTGGGTACAAGCTTTCAACTGGCATAGAAAAAGATATTAGAAGCAGAGATTCTTACCCAAGGATTTAAAAGGCACGATCAAAATTAAGTAATTAGTTCTGAACATGTATTAAACATACAAAAGCTCTGTTCTCTTCTTAAATATCAGGCTCAGAAGAAACTGCGTTTTACAATTGTGTACGGCACACTGTTGCTCATACACAATTTTCTTAAGTCTTTTTTTTTTTTTTACTTTCATTGAAGCATATTCATTATAACATTCAGCTAATTTATGGCTTCTTCCAGTGGCTTAGTAAAAGGGGTCATAAAAAAGTTAAGTAAACCAGTGTGTTTTTTTCCTCCCCCTTAACTTTGGATTCCTTTTTTGTACTGTGCTGTCTAGTGCTTAGTCTTTGGAAAGTACCTTGGGCATATCCAGCACACACACAAATTATCAGCAGCTCCAGGAAAAAAACAAAACAGAATTTCTTGCACTGAGGCAACTACACAAAAGACTTGCATATGTCAAAAATACAGAACTAAGTCCCTGTGAATGCTGCACCATTAATCAAATCCCCGATCTGGTGTCACTTTTGCCAGTAAAATGATTATATTCTTCTAACCCCCTTCTACTGGCGCGTGGCTGCAACACATGAAGTGTGTCCCTCTACTTTAATTTGTTTTCAAATAGCCTGCTTTAGGCATTTTTTATATATCCTTTGGAAAAAAAAAGAAAAAAAGAAAAAAAAAGGGAAAAAAAAAGAAAAAAAAAAGAAGAAAACTGCTATGTAAAGCTCCAGCAAGGGTCTACAGTACCAAGCAAGTAACACCTCTTTGGGAAGGAGGGCAGACAACGAACAAATTTAACTGATGTTCAGGAGCCGAACACACAACTGCTTCTGAGGCTGTAACTGTGGATGCCGAGGAATGGTGTGCAGTTTGCCCATGTACATTTTAAGAAAGTAAATAACCACCACAGAGGAAGGTGTTGTAGTAAAAGCAGCTGAATGAATCATGCATTTATCAATGCATGCAGTTATTGATGCCTTTTCCCTCCCTCATTAAGAGGACACATATATATAAAGCCATCTACAGCCAATGCTCGTGCCTCATCAAGTAGTTTTTTGTAGTAACACTAACTTTAAAGCTTGTGGGTAATCCTTGGCCCCCCTTTATTTTTGCACATGCTTTCTCTGGATGTTACCGAGGGGAGATCAAATTCAATCTACAACTGTACCTCAACCCTGGAGAAACCAAACGGCACATGAGGAGTAGGAAATGCTCTAGCAAGGAGGTGAAGAGCCATTTTGGGGTAGCAGGTCTCTGCAGGGAGAATTTTCCACCAGGCTTTGACCTGGGGGAGTGGGAAGGGTGGGAGGCAGAGGAGGGAACAAGAGGAAGGGGAGCGTGTGTGCGTGTGCACTTCGCGGGCAGAGGTGACCGGGAGGAGGAAAGGGGGAATAGCTGTTTCTCTTGATAAAAGTTAACAGTCATGGAATGAAAGGAAAGCTACAGTGAGTGAAGTCTGAGGTTTTGGGAGTGGAAAAGGGAAGGTTTTCCCCATGGCTGTGCAATGCTAGCATCAGCAGTGGCCCAGGCACTGTACGCTTCAGTTTACCGGTCTGTCAAATGAGCTGGCTGCTGTCTATATGCTTCCAACTAGCTCAATTCAAACATTAAATGAAGTAGAGAAATCATCAGATAAATTGCTGGTCTTCTCTACCCGAGAGTGAAAGGTTCTTGTACAGCTGATGACAGCCCTGATCCTTTGTCTGACCTAATTTACTTCTCTTGAAGGTTAGAATAAAGCACACTTTCCTGTCACAGGATAACCTAACCTGCATCCGCATATTGCACCCAAAAAACAAGACGCTTCTGCTACGTTAACAGTGCCATAACTTGATGGACTTCTCAGAATGGGTGAAATAGACATCCACTGACCAAAGCTTCCCGTGTGTACGCCACTAAATTATACATTTGGGCAAGAAAGAGTCCCGCTAAAGTCCGTCCACAACGCACAAGCCGACTGCAGCAGAGAACAGCACAAGCCTGTTGGAGAAGCACACAGCACAAGCCCTGTGAGCTGTTCAGCAGCAACTTCTACATGACAGATGTGATTTTGTGTTTATTTCTCTAGAAAAAAAAAGAAAGCTTATTTTCATTTGCAGGAACTGCAGATTTTTTGCTCTAAGGACCTGAGGATCAAAGTATGGTTAAACTCTCTCATATCAAATCCTCTCGGCAGGGGTACATGTGGCTTTCTGACATGTAATCGACGCCGATTTCTGTTCGTGTGTGTCTGCTCTATTGCTGCACATACCTTCTTCTAGAGCTCCAGCTTCCTCACTCTGTGTTTTCACATCCACTGGAGCAAACATATGGATCTCTGTGGGTTCCCCCCCGCTCCCCGCCACCCAGAGGCTCACTCGTATACAGGTACCATTAACCCGATCACTATCTGACAACAACAAATGGAGAATTTAAACATTGTCTGTTGACAATAAAAAGCACCGTTAAAAACTAATTTTAATTAAAAACTCCTGTCCACCCGGGTCAATTAATCAGCCGCGATTTAGCTAAAACTAGATTCGTCTCGCTGTCAGCCCTTCTCGGCTAGCTCTGTATAGATCTTCGCATGGAAATCAATACTACAACTTTACGCTGAGCACATTTTGCAGCACAGTGAGCGCCGGGCGCGGCGGTGCGGGCTCCGACGGCGCATCCCGCGCGTCCCGCGGCGGGGCCGGCGCGGCCATCGCACGGGCTGGGAGCTCCCCCTAGTCGCCAACCCCCGCCACTGGCGGACGAGCACACGGCAGGCTCCCACCAGCCAGCGAAGTTTATTTTGGAAAGTATTTTGCATCAACAAACAGCACAGAGCGCAAAGAGATCCAGGTAGAAATTGTGGAAGAGGAGCTAATATCGTGTGCGAGGCATTTTTGAAGCGGAGAGGTCTGCTCGCAGCAAGCTCAGCCCTAGGAAGAGCCGCTGAAGTCAACCAGAGTCCTTAACCGATATCAATAATTTGTACTACTTCTACAAGCGCACACTCCACTAAGTCATAACAACTGACACATATGCCACAAGACAACCCTTTGTTCTGCAGAAAAACATACACTTTGCACAAGACAAGGGCTCCCACCATTCCTATTAAAGGCAGCCAGGTAGTAAAATTTTGTAGAGTTTTATTTCTCAATATTTAAATAAGCCTGACAAAATATGCTCTGCATCTGCCGGCCAGCAAAAAATGCAAAATGGTTTCTCACCCACTGTACGTCTATTTAAGCCACTGAACACATCAACTAAAAAGGACAGAACCACTTAGATCCACAATCTAGTTACTCTGCACCAGTTCTAAGAAATATTTTAAAATATGAGAAACTATGAAAATGTACCAGTAGTGTTTTTATTTATCTTGTAAGTCCAATACAAATATATTCAAATGAAAGGTAACCTGGAAGTCGACAGTACACAACCTTTATTTTTTTTTCCTGTCCTATTTAAAGCAAACACATGTAATGTCTTTTAAAAGCACAATAAGTTTTTCTGTGCACGACTATGCACATACTATGAAAAAGTCAGCCATCCTTAAAATAATAGTAATTTCCTCCTTAATTCTTCACTCACAGCATACATTCCTTGTATTAGAGTTGATTACATTGGTGTGGGTTTTCTTCTGCAGGGAATGTGCGTTAATTGCACTAAATCTAAATGCATTTTAAGAGAAGCTCCTTGAAGCAATTTGCAAAACTTTGACATGCAAAAAATCGTAGGGGTTTTTGTTATTATTTTTAATGACTACGTACACATAAAAAGTGATACAGGAAATTATTGCTCTTCCTAGGAAACCTGTTGACCAGGTACTGAAGAGCTGCCTTGGGAAACCTGGTTCTCGACCTGGAATTGTATGATTTTACTGTATCTTTCCCTCACAATCTTTGCTGCTGTTCTGCAGAAATGTTCTTGCTTTGCCGCCTCCTGCAAAACTGCTACCAGTAAGCTTTTCACATGCTCTTGCCTTTCATATTTCCTTCAAATGAAAAATGCAGGACTAGTTTGAAAACAGATTTCTTGAGTTTAAAAGGGAAGATCTTAAGCTGGAAAATAACCAGTTTGAATCAAAGCAAAATAACATTTCTTTGCACAGAGCAGCTCAACACCTCAACCTCCTCTTCTCTACATAATCAGTTCTTTTGTATTGTCATTCTTTTGCATTAAAGTGAGCTTGGCTACCAAGTTTCCTCTGTCCACTACCAGTGAAGAAAGGTTCAGAGCTGCACTTTTCTCTCCATGTGTTTCCCCTCCTTTTTCGTCCTGCACATACATCCACTACAACGCTGCCTGGGTGAGCCTGGCAAGGACAGGCAGGCCACTCCGTTTCACAGTCTTAAAGACCACTGTTCTAATGAGATGCTGCAACTCTGGAGCACAACTATACTGCAGTTTCTCTGCTTTTTGAGTTTGTTTGTCTTACACTAAGAATCTAAACGTTTCTTCAAACACAAAGTGCATGAAACCAAATAAACTCCAGCTGAGCAATGTCAGAAAACCCTTCTCTCTCTCTCTCTCTCCACTCATCTCTCTCCCCATCACTCTTTCCTTGCCTGGCACAGACCTCCAGTCCATCCTGAAATGCAACTCTCCTGAAAGACGCCAAAAAGGGAGAGAGGGAGAAAAAAGCCCAAGCTAAACACAACAGAAATTAAAGATTTCTGAAACCAGTATCAGTTCATCCCAGCTTTGGGGGCTTGACTTGGCATTGACTTTACTTTGGTTTAAGTGTTTTGGTTTCCCATTCTGTTGCCTGCTACTTTCCAAACTCCCCTTTAGAGAGGACACTGCCTGGCTGCTTTTCCCCCATGAATGACACTTCCCGAGGAGTGCAGAGCCTGCAACCCCCTCTCCTTCAAGCCTGCAGCTGAGGCTCAGACCTATGCGCTGAAATGCCTGCGCTCCTGCTCCCCCAGCCCCAACTCCAGCCCGTCGCAGCCTCCCCCCACCCCCCGCCTCCCACCACCTCCTCCCCTGGATACCTTCATTTTTTTCTGCCACTGTTCAGTATGCAGCCTGATTTCTCCGCCAGCTTCCTCAGGATGGAGATATAGATAAATACAAGAGGGGAGGGAGGGAAGCTCGTACCGCTCTGCTCTCCATTCCTCCCCCAGCCTTCCCGCTAAACCCATTGTACACGCAGCTCCTCGGCACCTTCGAATGCTGTCCTGCCTCATTATTTACCTTCAAGTAAAGCGATCAGAAAAGGCGATCAAATTGAAATAACAAACCTACCTGGCTCTCTTCTCCACCCCACCTCCCCCCCCACACACACACCCAGCAGCAACAGCAGGGAGAAAAGAAATGTTTCATCCCTTGAAACAAATTCAGACGTGTGCAACAAAACAGATTTTCCGCACACCCCCTTTCAACACCCCACATCTCCTCACAAGTGAGGCAGAAAACAAGTGAGAGAAACTGCACAGGGCGATTTAGGGGGCTGTTGATGCTATCTCTTTTAGAAAGAAAATTAAAAAAACAAAAAGGGAAAAAAAATAAGCCACCAACAAAAAGGGTAACACATTTTCCAGACTGGATGGTTAAAATCAAAAATGCAATTAACGAAGGGGAGGGCGTTGAGGAAGGGGGAAATCCACCTTCTATGGTGATGCAAATCTGGCTCCAAAATAACAATGAATAAAGAAAAAGAAAAA